AATATTTGGTTTTATTTCGCACTGACGAAACTTTTACCGCATAACTTTTGGTATGTTTATGAGGTGATAATTGTGCACGTTTTGAGTATTTTCTAGAATATTTTTACCTGGTATTTTGAATTCTATGGCGTTTTGATTGAATTGTGAATTTTCAGGATGTTGAAAAATGTTGCTTCAGTACAATGAAAGTCTTATAATGCTGTTGTGTATATTCTGTGATAATTTGGTAAATTTTCGAATCTGTGAATTCTGTGTAAATTTCGTATAATGCCGTTATGTCGCTGACGATTTTCTGACGTACTCTGATTTTCTGGTTTGAATGTTTTGATGTGCTGTGATATTAGAAGGGAGTTATAAGGGGCCGGAATCCCTCGTGATTTCGTTGTCTGGGTCAGAGAAATTTGAGAATCTGAAAATAAGTTATGTTCTGAATCTGTTCTGAAAATTTCGTATATCTGTTCTGTTTTGGTGCTATAAGCACAAAGGGAGATATAAGGGGCTAGAATCTGAGATTCTGTCAGTGTCAGGGAAGGGAGGCATAAGGTGCCAGAATCCGTAGAGATTCTGTCAGGGTCCGGGAATCTGAAGACTGATATGTGTTCAGATGTTGAAATGTGATTTTATCTGATTTGATATTTGTTTTGTACTATTCTGTTTGATATGTACGATTTTTGTTGTTCTGTATGATTCTATATGTTCTGTGAACGTTAATATATATGAAGTGCATTGAGTTTTCTGTATCAGTGGTTTGATTTCTGTTTGATCAAGTATTTGTATTCTATTGCTTATGCGATTTCTGTACGATTATCTGAATTTTGTACGACTATTTGAATATCTGCTTATGATGTACTTTTTGATGTGTATTTCTGAAGATTTGGATTGGTGAGAGTAGTCTTGCTGAGGTGTTAGCTCATCCTTATTTTCTGCGTGGTTTTCAGGTTCTGGGAAAGGGAAGGAAGTCTTGGACTAGAAGTTCAGTGTCTGATATATGATTAGGTATTTTTGCACTTTTGATTTTTGTACAGTCATGGCTTTTTTATTATGATCTTTCTGTCTGTAAGCCATGAACTGTATTGTACATGATTATTTTGAGGAGAGAAATATAGATGAATTGTTCTGTACATTTGGAAGTTTATAGCAGCTCCGTGTTTCTGTTTGTTTTTACATTTGGAAGAAAGTTCTGAAGCAAGTCCCAAAACTAGATCCTGGATTTCAAGTTCCGTCGCGACTCGATGCGAGCGGGATTCGTTCCGGTCGGGTTGGGTCGTGACAGTTGCATTAGTATTAGTATTGATAATAATATCAGTGTAGTACAATAAATTAGTAAATGGTGTCGTTGGAAACAATATTGGTATCTGTATCGATATCAGTAAATCCATACAAGGATAATAAATCAATATACAGTAAGCCGTATAATAATAATGAATCATTAACACACATTTCAGTAATCATATTAATCAAGTAAGAAGTCTTAACTTAAGTGATGTTTTCAATATCAACAATCCATAATCAATAACAGTTGGCTTAGTAAATAGAGTGATCACTCTTTTACCCGTTGGCATAGTAATAACTCTTTATAATCCTCATTCAGTATCACGTGAATCAATCAAGGATAATATCAAAAAATATATATTTAAAGGAAAGTTTATCAATCCACCATCCAGTACAAGGCAATCAATCTCTAGACAAAATTAATGAAACTAACATTTTACTTACTTTTCACACATATAAATATCACTTTTTTTTAATAGTAATAGCAATAAGTTATTATTCAACCACGTGTATATATTCATTTACAATGCTTATATTAATAGTATGCTTAAATAAAAATACTTTTATTTAGAAAAGTAATATAAAATTTAATAACATCTATTTTATCTGGTGAAATATAGAAATATTATAATCAAAATCTTCATAATAATAAGTACGATATTATTAGATTTAAAAGAAAACTTAACTCTTAATAGGACATAATGAAGAAAAAAATCATTTAGCTGATCCTACATAGTAGAATAAAAGCTTGATGTTGTTGTCGGAGGAAAATGAGTTTTAGATAAATTCTATTAAAACAAAGGTTTATAATGATCAATTTTGAATATTAAGCCCATTGTTAGGGTGTTATTTATCATAACAATGCACTTGTTATACTTATTTTTTATTTGATGCTAAAAGCAAGGCTTTTAAAACCGGACAGGATCGGACCGGCCGATTCAACCGGTTGAACTGCGAACCGGCCGGTCGGCCGGTTATGCTTCGCTTGAGAACCGTTTTTGCCTCGAAACGGCGTTAGACCGTTTGAATCGCCGGTCCGACCGTCGAACCGGAAAACAGGCTCCGGTTTCGGATAACCAGACGGTTCGGGCAAATTTTTTTCTGAGCCATTGGATCTAATCCTACGGTTAATATGAGACAAAGCTGATACAAAACAAAAAACCCTAATATTCACATATTCGCTATTTTGTTCGTTCGGCCTCGTTTCGTCGTTCGTCTGCTCGCTCCCCTTTCACGAACGGCGTCGTTCGTTGTTCATTTCTTTCGCCGACCAGGGATTCTCTTTTCCAACCCACTATAAGTTCTTCACCCGCTTCTCCTTCTCCTTGCATTCGGTAGTAGGCCGACGACCGCTGACCTGTTTTCCTTTTCCATATATTTTAATTTTTAAGCATACTGCTTAGGTTTTTGTGGGAACTGGGATTAATGGAATATACAACAAAATGTGAAACAATTTTGCACTTTTAATTTTCAAAATCACTTTTTAAAACTTTTGTCCAATGCCGTTCATCCACCGACGTTCATCTAATGTCGTTCATGGTTCATCCACGATTTTGGTTGCCAATGGAGATCGTGAAAGCTTTTAACTATCTCTGTTGAAATTTTGTCCAATGCCTTTCATCCACCGACATTCATCCAATGTCGTTCACGGTTCATCCACGATTTTGGTTGCCAATGGAGATCGTGAAAGCTTTTAACTATCTCTATTGCAATGGATTATGGATCTTTATTTTTTTTATAATATATACAAGTTTTTTTTATATTTTTTTTTTATAATTTTTTACCGATGTCATGATAGAGCAATGACATAAAGATTGAATTGAATAACTTTTGCCAGTTATTATAATCAACTTTGTTTAGGCATTTAGGAAAAAAGCCATAATATAGGGAGAACTTACAAGTTACGACAGGTTTTTTTTTGTGTTGTGTTGATCTTATGTTATATAGAAGACTAAGCTGCTTAAGTTGATATCATTAAGTAATAACTAATAAGGATGTTTTCTGAGTAAGAGTTACCTTGTTGATGATTTTTATACCAAAATAGTGGCAAGTGGCAACTGTTAAGTTTGATTATGATTGACATGAATTTACAATCACATTTGTGTTGCACTACTGGTTATAATTAAGTTACTGCGATAACTTGTCTTTTAGAGCTTGTGCTGGAGGAATTATGAAATAAAAGTTGGCTTACATATGCTTATATTGTTGAGATTCATGTAGCCCAGTTTTATTATCATAATGATTGAGTTTTTCTTTAATGATTGGATACTTTTGTCTTTCTTAGTATTATAGTTAAAATGCATATTCAATTTGAAATCATCTTAAATATATTCCAGGTTCTGAACGTGCTTTCTTTGAAGTGATATAAAATTGCTACTACGACGAATTGAGGTATGCATTGTTTTCTACCTTGCATAGTTTTCAACTTTATTATTATTTTTACTTTATAGTTTTTTACTTTGTAGTTTTCTACTTTATAGTTTTCTACGTTGCATGGTTTTTATTTATTTGTATGTGATTTTATTTAATAAATCAAATTAGAATGGAAGCACCTAGTAATCAGACTTCAGGATCAACTTATACTGTGCGTGAGAAAATGGATATTGCTTGGAACCATTTTGCTGAAGTTAAAGGATCTGATGGGAAGAAACAATTTAAATGTCTACATTGTGGTATTTCATACAAGGGAGGAGGAATTAATAGAATGAAACAGCATTTAGCAGGTGTAAAGGGGAATATAGCTGCTTGCAAGAAGGTTCCACATGATGTTAGATATCAAATGAATGAAAACTTGAAGGAAATTTTAAGAAAAAAACAACAAGCACAGGAAGAATTGGACA